GAAGAAGAAGAAGAGGAGAAGAGCAGAAAAAACTAGAAAAAACATACACATACAGATGAGAGTGAAAAGCACTCCATTTTAATAACAAGTAAAATGACGAGGTGCAAAGAACAAGTCACAAGCAACGAAGGAGGAGGAGCAGGAGCAGAAAGACGAAGAAGAAAGAAGCAGGAAAGAAGAAGAAGAAGAAGAAGAAGAAGAAGAAGAAGAAGAAGAGGCGGAGGACGAGGAGGAGGAGGAGGAGGAGGAGGAGGAGGAGGAGGAAGAAGAAGAAGAAGAAGAAGAAGAAGAAGAAGAAGGAGGAGGAGGANGTCTATGCACTAGAAGAAGAACATACAAACAACAAATGACGTATGCAAATCAAAGATAAAGATTCGATGATGAAAAAAACTAAAGAAGAAGAAGAAGAAGAAGAAGAAGAAGAAGAAGAAGAAGAAGAAGAAGGAGGAGGAGGAGGAGGAGGAGGAGGAGGAGGAGGAAGAAGAAGAAGAAGAAGAAGAAGAAGAAGAAGAAGGAGGAGGAGGAGGAGGAGGAGGAGGAGGAGGAGGAGAAGGAGAAGACGGAGAAGACGGAGAAGAAGAAGACGAAGAACTCGAAGAAGATGAAGACGACAACGATGACGACGGAGAAGGAAGAAGAGGAAGAGGAAGCGGGATAGGAGGAGGAGGAGGAGGAGGAGGAAGAGAAGAAGAAGAAGAGGAAGAAGAAAAAGAAGAAAAAGAAGAAGAAGAAACTGCAGGGAAAATACAATCTTCATGTGAAAATGGCAATGAAAACTACACCGTGCTAGACTATGAGAGTCGTCCGGAACCACCTGCCCGGCCGAGCTAAAAACAAAACAAAAAATCTTTTTTTTTTTGTTTAAAAATTAAAATTTTAATTTTAATTTTGTAAACAATTTCGATTTCACAGTTATCAACCTCAGGCCAAAGTTTTCAGTTTATTTTTCTACATAACATATTAAACAAAGTTTCTTTCAATTTTTTTTTTTTTTTTTGCTGGGGTCTTCCCCGGCTCTTGTCAGGCCAAGCACCCGGGCAACCAAGGTGACCTGGGTGGCCCGGTTGGTAATGCAATACACCGTTCCATACATTCCATAATTTAAATTAATTAAATTAATTTTCCATTACACATGTAAAAGAGCAAAGATAAAATTAAAAAAAAAGCCTCACAACCACCAGCATGGCGGTGATTCCTCTATGCATTTTTATTGAATTAACTGCCCACAGCAATCGCATCAAGGGACTTGCCTCAATTAACCAACCCCCATCCTATCGTACTCTTTTTTCTCTTTTCTCTTTTCCCTTTTCCTCTTTTTCTTTTCAATGGTGAGGCTAGCTCCGCCTCAATGTGGCCCCCCTCCCCCCACCTCTTATCCCTCCCTCCCTGTCATTCATCCCTGTCATTGATCCTAGTCGCCAAACCTCAAATCGACGGCCTGGGAATGCATCCTTCCTGCAAAGGCCGTCTACAAACTTCGCAGTCCATCGAGCAGAACACTGAAGGATGTTGATTTTGATTTTTCATTGTGCGTTCCCCCGGAACGTAAACCGGCAGACGGGGTCGTCAAATTTTTAACTTTGCAGACTTGATGAAGGTAAATGCTGTCAAAGATCAACTAGCAATTGCAGACTCGGCAAGGGTACACGTTTCAGGGGGTTCAAGAGGTGGGGGGATAGAAGGGCAAGAGGGTACCGGATGGAGTCGGCATCCAGGAACCCCGCATCTCTTGGATGCGAACCCCAAAACACAACAACAAGACGAAGAGAAGAGCTTGGCCATATGGGGACTACTACACCGTATGACGCACATGAAGGCGGCTGGCAGTGTGGATGGAAGAACAGCAACGGAGCACTATGGACTCCACCCACCTCACCATTGGAAGTCCTGGGATGGGATGCAGCCAACGACGAAGGAAGGCAGGTGGAGTGGGGGTGCGTGGTTGGAAATTGGTGTGTGACCTCTTCTACTCTGCATTCTATGATTTTGTAATTTCTTTAGAGCTTTTTTTTAAACTCAAAACACAACCCCCTTTATATTTTTTGGGGGCTCCAGTCCGGTAACATATCCCCGACAAGCAGATAAAGAGATACAAAGAGTGAGGACAAGTAGTACCAGAATCGGCTATCCATCTACGCCCCCAGTGATGCAAAGGACGAAGAACCTTTGTACAAAACACGCGCTCCACACACAGTCGTTATACGTCTGCACCACCCAACTCTGCATTGTATTACACGTCTAAACCCCCAAAGGTCTCCCCTCTGGTACTAGTGCGAGACTTCAACGTTGCCCTAGAGAGAAAAAAGCCAACTCGAGTGGCGGAAAGGCAAGGTTTATTGGACTTTACTATCCACAAAGTAGAACGTTCTCTTTTTCTGTTTTTTCTCCGTTTTTTTTCTTATATAGAGGCTCGCTCCACTACACAACACTGTACATGCATTTGGATGCTGTCTGGACCAGGACCATTCGTACGAGTCCACCATTTTCAATGTATCTGGTCAAGAAATCGTCCAAGTGCATGTAGAGTGTTGTTTAGTGGAGTGAGGCCCATAGTTTTGGGCCATTTCTTGATTTATGTGTCATCCTGAGGGCCAACTACACCGTCCTCTGAAAAAACGTTCTCCTGCCACTCCTGGTTTGATCCAGCGGCCTAGCTCAGTTGGTAAGGCACGCAAGTGGCATTCAGGAAGTCCTGGGTTCAATCCCCATTGGCCTCATGTACCTTCCTGTGAAAGCTTGGCGCCCGCCACCTAGAGATATGCTGTTGGTCCCCCCAGGTGGCATTGAGCAGAGACTGCTGATGTTCATAGGGGGAGGGGACCGGAGGGGAGGCACAGTGACTGGCCCATCGAAGAAGCTCGAGTGGCATTGAGCAGAGACTGCTGATGTTCATAGGGGGAGGGGACCGGAGGGGAGGCACAGTGACTGGCCCATCGAAGAAGCTCGGTCCTGATGCTACCGGCTGACCCCTGGCCTGTAGCAGGTATCGCACCTGCTGGTGGGTGCAGCTCCCGCATGTTCCCTCATTGGAGGCTTGAGCACGGATGTGGCTGCTACAGGGTTCCCCGTAGTACTATAATGACAATAAAAAAAACCTGAAAGGCCGTCCTGTCCAGATTCGACAGGTAATTGAATTGACAATGTTTTTTTTTTTTTTAATAACCCCTTCAACATCTGTTGTAGCTTTACTACTGTGAGGGCATACTTGCAAATTGCAATGGGACCTATAATCTCAAATTCCCCAAAAGAAAGGGTAGAGGGCCGGTCACACAGATTTGCCAAAATACCAAGTGTACTATTTGTGTGCCCATTTGTCAGCGGCCTGGGAAGCTGCGGGGCAAGGGAATTTGCGGTCACCTCTGGAGGTGACCGCAGATGCCCTATTTATTTTTTCGCATTTTCCTTGAAAATTGGTGAGAATTTGTTCACAAAAGTTCTTGCACAATTTGCGGTGGCCCCGTGTGACCAGCAAAGTACCAAGTCCCCGTTTCTCGAGACTGCCGCGACCTTGGGCCTCGCCACACGACTCTCGAAATGTGAAAGTATTTCTAATTTTTTTTTAACTAGATTTTTCTGTATCTATTTCGAATTTTAGATTTTTCTATCAAACTTTTTATTCTCAGAAAAGTCTATACATGATTTGTATATTCTATTATAATATTCAATTAGATCTACAAATAGAATTAGATTCAAAAAAAGAATAAAAAGGATAAGTCATATTTTTTCTTATTTTCTTCTTTTATAGTTTTACACAAAAAAAAAATCAATGTTGATTAAAAATATTGTTGATTAAACATATTATTTTGTAACAATTATTTAATTGAATTGAATAATAGAATATTGCATTATTTAGATGTCATTTTGTGCAATATTTACCATAATAAAAAGAATAAAATATAAAATAATAAAATAATAAAATATTAAATCTAGAATATTTTTATCATATTGATATGGCAGGTGCATCTGGCCATGTTCTAGCAGGAAGTTCATTCTCATTTTGCACATTTCGAGAGTGGTGTGGCGATGCCCCTTGTCCCATCCGAAAAGGTACAGCAGTCCGACCCAAAGTATGCCCAAAACCTCAAATCGGCTCTTCGCAAATCAGCATATTTTGCGGATTTGGGGTCGCAGTGTGAGTATGCCCTGAGACTTCCTGAAACTTTTCTGTAACTTTCCTACTCCTGTCTTCCCGCAAACATAACACACCCTGATAATGAATGTATACGAGCCATATTTCTGGTCGGGTACAGCCAAAATGAGGATGCCTTGTGTTCGGGGAAACAAATAAAGTAGGAGACTTTCTGTAACTTTTCTGTTGCTTTCCTACTCCCGTTTTCCCTCGAACATAACACACCTGATAATGAATGTATACAAGGTATATTTCCGGTCAGGTAGAGCCTAAATGAGGATGTGATGTGTTCGGAGGAAGACCGTAGGAGACTTTCTGAAACTTCCCGTAACTTCCCTACTCCCCCGTCTTCCCTCAAACATAACACACCCTGATAATGAATGTACCCAAGCCATATTTCCTGTCAGAAACAGCCAAAATGAGGATGCGTTGTGTGTGCGGGAAAAAGATGGCAGGAGACTTTCTGTGACTTTTTTCTACTGCGATACTTCGACGTTGCCTTCGAAAGGGACAAGACAACTCCAGTGGAAGGAAGAAAAAAGGTTGATTCAACGTTTTTTTTTTTTTTTTTTTTTTTTTTTTTTTTTAGGACATAAACGTTTTTTTTTTTTTTTTTTTTTTTTTTTTGAACAATAAAACAGGTCCTTAAGGCCCTGGAGATTCAACTTGATTGAACATTTTTCACAAAGTTCTCTCTTTGAACTTTGTGTTTTTTCCCCTCGTGAAGTTAGTTCCCACCCGAAGGTGAGAGAAAAAAAAAGGTTCCCACTGGAAGGTGGTGGTTATTCAGCCTCCCAAGGATGCGAACAAATTAATCGGGAGGAGACTGAGTGGGAGAGAATACATTTCATTAGTAAAAAAAAGGGCATACCGTGGCGCTCGGGAAGACAGTCTCGCCGCCGAACTCGACGTCAGACAGGTACATCAGAACAGTGGCGATTCGATGACCACCAAGAGCCTGGTTGTTCTTGTCGTGGAAGTAGTCGAAATGCGCCTCGTACTTTTCCTGATATTGATATCGAAGCACTTGGATTGCCTCTCCATTCTCTGTCCACGTCCCACCAGTGTCCCGTGTCCCAACAGATGGTGTCCCGTGTTCCGCCAGACGGTCAACGAGAAGGGATGGAAAGGTATGTAAGAAAGAAGACAGGGTTGAAGAAATAAAAATAGAACAAGAAAGAAAGAAAGAAAGAAAGAAAGAAAGAAAGAAAGACGACAGTGCAGGAGGAAGGCAGTTAGGGGAGTAGGGTACTAACGTCACTACCCGAATAGAAAGCCTCGTCATTACCGACATATTTTGGGTAACCTGCAGTCTAGATACAGCGATAATGACCGGGCGTTCAATTTGGGTGAAGACGGTAGGGTCTATGAGGGCTGTAGAAGAGCAGGATGTAGAGGATGAAGTAGAAGGACAAGGAGCAGAAAGGGTGGAAAGATAGGTGCATGAAGGGGCAGAAGGATCACATAGGAAGAGGAGGACGGCAATGACAAATGATGATGATGATGATGATGATGACAAGGAGCATGCTTGAGTCCAGTCAGGAATTGCTGGCAGCCACCGCTGGACCCGCAGCAGCACGAGCAGGAGGAGGAGGAGGTAATGGACTACGGCAACAATGAGGATGACAACCTTGGAGGCATGACAAAAACGAGGAGCATGAAATTATCTTTCGCAGCAGAAGTGGCAGCAGCAGCAGCAGCAGCAGGAAGAGGAGGCGGCGGAGGAGCAGGACAACAACGAGGACCAGGACCAGGGCGAGGGCGAGGGCGAGGGCGAGGGCGAGGACACGGGCAAGGGCGAGGACAAGGACAAGGACGAAGACGAGGACGAAGACGAGGACGAAGACGAGGACGAGGACACGGGCGAGGACACGGGCGAGGACAAGGACGAGGACGAGCGGGAGGCGACGGCAGAGGAGGAGGAGGAGGAGAAGGAGAGGAAGAATGATGATGACTGGTGACGAAAAGTTGTTGACAACTGTGGCTATGACAATGACGATGATGACGATGATGACTATGACAATACCGGGTTTCTGGGTTTGCTTCCTGACCTCAAAGCTGATGAGTGACTAAAGGAATATGAACCCTCAAACCACCAGTACCTTTCCCGCGTGGGAAAATAGGGAAAACTGGCAGTTTTGCCAATCTCCTGAATCTTCGGAGGTCGGGTCCGACGACGACTGCCTTTGATAAATCCGATCGGTGGCCGTCATGTCGTTTCGGCCTCCGAAAAGGTCGGACGCCTACCCGAGGCCCGCTATTTTCCCACGCGGGAAAGGTACTGGTGGTTTAACGTCAGGCCTGGGAAGACTATGCTCTCTACCATGAATCTATTTCCACCATCGATCCACTTTCTTAAGCATCGACCACAGTGTAGTCGCTATGAGTGAGTGAGCGTTCAGTGAAAAAAGGGCACAGCACTGGTGGGCCATTGACTTCAATGACAAAACAAGAGCATGGCATGACCAATCTGGTAGCCCGTGCTGAAAACGAAAAAGAAAAAGGCATCTCATGTGACCCACTTAGTGAGTAATCGTTTCTTCAGCAGCAGTAAGGAAAAAACATGAAAGAACTGGATTCAACTAGTCAGTAATAAACTAATACTGATTAAATAATAAATAATCACCTTTAGGAATATGTGTCCAGTCAGCAATTTTTTCTTCGATCCCGTCCACTATTGGATCCTGGCGAAGCAACAAAATATATTTGAAAATAATCAAAATTGTAAATTTCAGAATTCCAAACATGAATTTCAAAATTGTAAATTTCAGAATTCCAAACAAGAATTTCAATTTTGCAAATTTCAAAATTGTAAATTTCGAAAATTTTAAATTTCAAAATGGTAAATTTCGAAAATTTTAAATTTCAAAATTTTAAATTTCAAAATTGTAAATTTCGAAAATTGTAAATTTCAGAATTGTAAAATTCCAAATTGCAAATTGATCATGATTCATGACAACAGGCAGCGACAAAATAATCAAAATAGTAAAGGACTAAAAGTCAAAATTTAAAAAGACTGAAAAAAAAACTGCTATGTCGGTAGCTAGGGTGAGGCGGAAAGATATTGAGGGAAGAAAGTACCATAGTGAATACAGCTGTCCCCCATACATGAGGAGAAGACATCTTTAAAAAACGGAAAAAAAAAAAGAAAAAAAGGAAAGAAAAAAAAAAAGAAAAGGAAAAAAGAAAAACAAGACGAAGAAGCCAAACTTTGCACAGCCCAAGATGATTCTCGCAGATCCCTCATCCTGGTACCCAGCTGAAACCCTTGCATTTTTTTTTTATTTTTTTTTTTAAATTAAAGGCCAAGATAAACCTATTAGGGAAGTGATAAGAGCAACCTCCCTTGCATTAACAGACCCTTTCGTCAATTACGATGAGAAGGAACCGTCTGTAGGGTCGACGGTCCCAGCTGAGAACATGTTCCACAGGGTCACATAGTTCTTATCCCTCCTGTGTCTGCAATCTCAGAGCAGGCACCGTTTGTGGGGTCGACTCTGTGTTCTGCTGCTACCCAGATATCTACCCCTTTGTGCAGCTTTAGGTGCCAACACATGAGAGGGTGTCCTAGAGTTCGATAGCTTAACCCAAATCCCTTCGCGGCGAAAAAAAGGTTGAGAAAACTTGAGACAGAATCTCAAGCCAATTTCTTGAGACTAGCAAGTGGAGAGTAAAAACTAGACTTCCTACTACTGTAGTCAAACAATTGACTGTTGAATATTGACCATAACAAGGCAATAGTACCAGCCTGAGTTAAGCGTCTGATAGTTCTTTTTTTTTTCTTTTTTCTTTCTTTTTTCAAATC